ACACATGAGGGAAAGAATCCATTATATTTTCTTAGATTTTCATATCTTATGTATCTTTGAAGAAAAAAATGAGCAATCGTCTGCATACATTACTATCTTCTTCTGCATATTGCCTAACAAAATAATTTTTAATTTTTGTTCATTGCGAATAACCACTGCTAATGCTTTTATGATTAGCAAGGATAAATATGGAGACAAAGAATCTCCTTGTCTTACTCCCTTGCCTATTCAAAAATAGCCTGACACAGGCCATGGCACAGCCAACTGCATTATTATACAATACTTCTACCCATCTACCAAAATATGGACCAAAACCATGATAGTCTGAGACGTCTTTGTCAAAAGTTTTCTCGAAATCAACTGTTACTATATAAAATTTAAAAACTGTACATTGTATACCTGTGTGTAAAATATGACATCGTCAATAATTCTCACAGCTTCTCCGATATATTCCAGGCAACCTACCACTTGATCTACATGTACCACCTCTTCTAATACATTCTTTATATTTTCAGCAAACACTTTAGACAAAAGTTTATAGTCAACATTAAGAAGGGTAATAGGTCTGTAATTGTATTATATAAAGGGTTTTTATCTCCTTTTTTGATTACCGTTCTTACACTATATGTCTCTGTGTGGTAGACAGTAATCACCTTTCTAATGAGGTATTGGAGGAGTCTAAAACAAGGTTCCCTATAATTATCAGTCCAAAAGATGCGATAGAATTCCACTAACAAACCGTCATTCCTAGGGGCATTTTATTTATTATTGAAGGTAAATGGGTAGAAGTATTGTATAATAATGCAGTTAGCTGCATGTGCCATGGCCCCTATATCGTTCAGTAAATGCACTAATGACAGTATCATTGGCGTATTTAACTGTGCAATAATCAAATACGCCGATGATACTGTCATTAGTGCATTTCTACTGAACGATGATAGGGGTTATTTTGAGCAAGTCAAACAGTTCGTTGACTGGTGCGATAGTTATTTGGTCCTGCATGTAAACAAAACTAAGGAAATTATTTTTGACTACCGCCGTTCACCCCAACCCCAATTACATGAATCTTTGGTAATCCATGGTCATTGTATTGAACAGGTTTCAGAATATAAATACTTGGGAACAGTTGTTGACGAGAAGCTAAATTGGAATTGGAATAAGAACTCACAGATTGTAGGTAGTAAATCAAGCCAAAGATTGTATTTTCTGAGAAAACTAAAGGAGTTCAGAGTTGATAACAGCATTCTAGTCCTATTCTACCAGTCGTTCATTCAAAGCATTCTCACATTCAATTTTCTGTGCATGTTTGGGAATCTATCAAAGGAAAACACCAAAAAGCTAGAAAAACCAAGGAAAATTGCCCAACGAGTAATCCAAAAAGACCTCCTTCCTATCAGTACGTTATAATATTATGAGAAACGCATTCTTCTAAAAGTTCAAAAAATGTAATGCGTGACCTCACACACCCACTTCACTCCTGTTTCATTTACAATCGCTCTGTATGGCATTCATCTGTGTGTTCCCAAAACTTCTCGATGTCGCTTTAGACAGTCCTTCATTCCGGATTCCACCCACCTGTTTAACAATAACGCTAAACGGTAATTATATGTGATGTGAAATGTGTGAACGGATTCATGCCTATTCTTGCTTTAATATTTCTAAGAACCCATGGGTTGATACAGATGAATTGTTTTTGTTTTTGTTTTTACCTATAGTAAAGCAGATGTTACTTTGGAGTCATAATAACGTTTTATGCAAGCGGTTTTTATTCTCTCTTTCCCTTACCTACATTCCTGTCTTTTCTTGCTCAGCTTCCTTCATTCCTTGTCTCATCATACTCTGCTATCTCCTTTTACTTTTGTCAGAATGTATTCAACTGTTTGTTAATCTAATTGATGGATTTGTTTTGTGCACATTTATGTATTATTATGCTATTCATCGTTGTCTTCTGCCAGTGGAGGCGGACTTTCTGTGTTTTTGACGTGGACAATTAAATCTGAATCTGAATCTGAAGTACATTCACCAAATGTAATTTTCTTCTCACACGACTTCTTACTAGCTTCACATAATATATTTAAGGGAGACATATTGAAAAAGAGAGCATCCGTCCTACCCATTTTGTCATGTTCTGAGAATAAGTTGTGATAGAAATGTTTAATTTCTTTTAAAATTGGTTTTGGATCGGTTTTTTCTTCCCTCCTATATCATCTAATTATAATTTGTCTATAATAAATTAATAATATATCAAAATAATTTTCATTGATTTCATTTCTTCAAACCGTTTGCATGCGATCTAACTTGTAACCCTGCTACTTACACTTCGAGTTCATTTATCTTAGACTCTGAATTTTGTGAAGTATCATTATCTGGAGAAATTCCAAATGAATTTTCAAGCTTCTGAATATCTTTCTGTATTTTCCCTCGTTTCTTGTGCCTTAACTTTGGAATATTTCTTTGTTTTTTATGAACTTTCATTTTTAACGAAATCCCACATCTGTAATATCTTTCTTCCCCTTTAATTTCTGCTCTCGTGATATTATAATTATCTAATACTCCCTTTGCTTGAAATATCCAATTCAAATTTTCGAATCATATTAAAATCGCCACCAACTATCAAAAGGGATTTGTTCAAATTGAATTCATTTAAGCGAACAATTAAATGATTTTAAAAATCTACAAGTATATTATTTCTGCTGCTTATCTTGAACTAGAAAATTTTCCAGTTCGAGATAATAAACATTACAAAATCTATCTTATGTTTACTATTCGGATATAAAAGAATAGCGCCAGCTCTCGATGCATCGACAGCAGTTTAGACAATATTATTTTTCAAGGGGGCAATTTGCATCCCCATCCAACACATTTCCAACAAAAAAGAACAAAATATCGTAGGATCCAGATAATATCTTTCAGATTTATGAAGCCAATATAACGTATATAGAGGTTCAATCTCAACTATACGTATTAAGAAAAAGAAGACTTGCGATTAATAATAATAATAATAATAAGTCTTGTTTACCCAGGGTAGCCTCATCAGTATTCATATTGTTCTCCCTGAGGGCCTGCAATCATATTGATTCGGTTCAATCGCAACTCTTTAAATTCAATAAATATTGATCAAGACAAAATAATCTCTTTATAAAGATTACGCAGGGATGGCAGTATCACCATTTTTGTTGAGTCCAAAATAAGTGAGGGGTGATATCCCTCCCTAAAGGAAAGGAGATTCAGCAAAAAGTGGTATCCTAGATGACAAAGTCTGCATGGATTCGCCATTGTCTAGATCATAGCGGCTTTTGAATGAGGTATAATATTGCACAGGCAGAATTTGGAGGAGAGGGAAGCACAACGAGTCCATGCCCCCCCCCCCCTTAGAAATCGAAGTGACATACCTTTAGTATGCAAGTTCAAGAATTCGCGAAATGCATAATGCTTAGCTGCTAATGCTTTAAATCTTTTGTCTACCACAATACTGAGATGAAAAAAGATGGATCACTTTCCGGGGACACAAGCAACAGTGGTTGAGTGCATGGTTGATGTTGTTCCCATCATTCCCGTTAGCTGTGACGGTTATATCGTGAGATTCCTCGCTCCATTCTTAGACTTTTAAAATATACCCTTAGCAAGTATTTAACCGAAGCCCCAAATCACACCCTGAGCAAGTATTTCTGCGATGTTTTCCTATATAATACCCTAAACAAGTATGTAATTTATCATTAATTTTAGAAAAATTCTATACCATAAACTTTTTCTGGTGAACACTAATTTTTTTCTTCTTCATTTTGCCCCCCCCCCCGAAATTTGAAAATCGCGCCGAAAAATATTTCGCTCAGTGGTTGAGGGGGGGGGGGGGGGGGGTTGAGCACTAAACAAAAGAAAACTATTTTGCCCCCTGTTATTTGAAAAAAGGTAAATCTTACGTTTTATACGTGTTTTTTGCCAGGATCCGCGCCTGGGTTAGGCTATATAGAATCTAGCTGATATAATTTTGATCTCCACCACAACGTACCAAGTATATAAGCGCAAATATTCATATATTCAAATATTAATATGCAGCGCTAGGATGGCTAGGTTAGGATTACAAAAAGACGCACGCCCCCACTTCTTAGAGGGGCGCCAAATAATAAGATGCAATTTGTTTGCGACCTCACAAATCTTAGTCCTTCACACCCAACTGCCAAAGAAGGATGCTCAAGCAGTAAAGAGAGAAACAAACATTGAAATCATCCCTGAAAAAATGTAATCACAATGTAGCGGTAGATACCAATGTATTTAAATTTTATATTTTGCGTTGAGATTTTCCTTTGTATAGGTGCCCCTTTTTCTAAAAATTGCCCTTTTTGTTGGTGCCCTCCCCCCCCCCCCCCCCCCCCTCTTTGAAAGACGCTACGCCGCATCTGCCTGGACCCCGGTATAACGCTCCGCTCACTTCACTCGCTATGCTCTACTTGGACACTCAGATTTCAGTGCCCCCCCCCCCCCCACAATATAAAACATCCGTTGTGGTAAAGTGTGAAATTAGAGTCTGTGCCTACATACTATTTCAACCCCTATCCATCATGTCAGCGCCATCTGCATTTGTGAAGCGAACTGAAACAAAATCATGAACAAATTTAAAAACCTTTTTTCCTTCTTCTTTTTTATCCTCTTTGACTTAAAGGGGCGCCGTTTACCGCTCCAATCGATGTTGCGGCACCAAAATAGTGCGTTGCTATTTAGTTGTCACGTTAAGGCCGAAAAAAACAATGTATTAAAGTGTTATTCAATCATAATAATTCCAGCAGCAAGTTTTGGCAACGAATCTATTAAAATATCAATAAGCTTCTAAAAATTGCAGCCCTTCGCTTCATATATAGTCTGCATATTTGATTTATATTAATTAAGTATCATTTTGGAAAAATAAGGTCTATGATGTTAGACTACTTTAAAGTTCCCAGAAAAGGGCGTGCCTCTTCTTCGATATTTTGTGCGTATTGCGCACATAACAATAAGTGCAGCGTGCGCGCTAATTTAAATGTCTTTCCATATTCGTTCCATGACAAATTCGAGCATAGCTAGCTAGCCCGAGCGAGTTGACGTCTTTTCGAGTCTCTTTCTTCTCGTAGATCAAGATTTTGTGTTCGTAGGTGAGTAGAATTAAAGTCGATTCTTGTTTTTCTTTCTTCAAAAATAATAATTAACTAATTCTTTCTCGGTAGGCTATACGGTAATAATTAATATTACCTCGATGTGGACGATTGACAATGTGAGACTGAGAGTCTCACTCCAGTCTTGGTAACTTTTTAGACTACTTAATTGGTACTTGGTTGTTGTTCCTCCAAAAGATTCCTAGTCGTGGTGGCAGAGGGTGGACTTAATTATTGCGGAAGGAGTGCTACTGTAAACTCCAGTCTCACTCCAGTGTCACTCCAGTCTCACTCAGTTTGATGTCTCTCTCTCTCTCTCTCTTGTAATCCTTCCTCCGGTCAGGTCGGGGATCGTCGGCACTGTGAGTCGTGTCATCATGATCATGCATGTCAATCACTGAATCAGTCAATTGCAATTGTCGGTCATGAGTGTGAAGATCATGAAGTGTGCACATGGCTAGAATCTTTATCAATATGGCCATGCCCATGTCACAGAGCATTTTCTAGGTATCTAGTACTAGATCTAGTAGTAGTCTAGGTGCCTAATTAGTCAAACTGATGTGGTAATGGTATTTCTGACTTTTCTAGCATTAGGACTAGATCTAGACCTAGCCTAGGCTATATGAAGAAGAAGAAAGAGGAGGGGAAAACACCAATATTATACAAGTATAATGGCCTGTTAGGCCGTTTTCCCCTCCTTTAGATATTAAACAGGGAAGAGGAGGAGAAGGATGTCATTTATAAACGATGTAAATGTTCATTCAGGGCCCCATGGAAGACCACTAGTCTACTTGTTGGTGAATGGGCTACCCTGTCAAAAGATTAGAAATAAATAAATAAATAAATAAATAAAGAAGGGGGAAATGAAGAATAAATAAGGAGGGAGATGAAGAGGGAGAAAGAAAGAAGAAACATGTGACATGCGTCAATCATTTTGGCTGGTTATAAAGTAAGACAGCACGCTATACGCCATAGGCCTAGACTACTTAAACTGAGGTGACATCCCCACACTTTTTAAAAGGAATAAGGAGAAAAAAAAGAGGAAGGAAAAAAAAAGAGGAAGGAGGACAAGTCAGGAGAAAGAAAGAAGAAAAGAGAAGGAGGGTAAAAGAAAAAGGAAGAGGATGATTGTCCATTGCAAGCAGATTACAGAATGATGATTAGAAATGGATTTGTTTGGGAGTTACAAATTCATTGTTTTAATCCCCAGTACTAGACGGTTGTTAAGGCTCGTTCAGGTACATAGAACTGGGAAACTGCAGCGCTTCTTTTCATAAAGTCTGTGTGCAACAAAGTTCCTTAGAGATTTATGCGTTATAAGACACGGAAATAATGAGCTCATATTACACTTCATAATTAACACCGTTGTAGTTTACCTCGTCATATCTAAACAAGGCTATAGACGGTACTCATTAAGATATATATTTAATGGTTCAAAAGTTAAGATGTTACTGCTCAATAAATTGTCTTATACTACTTATAGATATTGTCTTGATCGATCAGTGTAAAAACATGAAATTTTCATTCTGATAAGCTCTCTTTTTTGTAGTAAATGCCAGATTTCCATACACAGATCCTAATGTAGTTCATTCTTTTGTGTTTCATTTGACTTTGAGCTCTTAAGTTTCCCAAAGATTTTTTCAAGTTTTCCAGAATTCCAGAGCTTGAAATTGCTCACGAGTCACTACATGTGCTCCAATGTTTTTAGTATTTGGCTAACAGTCATAATCATTAACGTAAATCGTGATCATATCGAGCATTCACAATGATTATTGTCAGACCTAATGCTAATATCCTATTGTACATCACTGTCCTCACATTTTATCTGTAAGATACCTTTTAAGTTTAATACTCGTTGTCTGTACCGTTACTTCAAAGTTTACAGCTGGCCATGTACTTAACAATGTTAATCAACATACAACAAAAAACATGTAGACACCGCTCTTGATCTTTGATTTCACCAGATGTGTGAGTAGTCAAAAGTTCTGTCATTCTCATTTCTTTTCATCAAGGTCAGACGTGTGTGACCCAGATTTGTTTTCCACAATCTAGGCAAATTTGACTGACATTTAAGCTACAGTACAAACTGTACAAAAAGATAGGTCTATCATACCTCTTGTGATCGAGGTTTCTTGACAAGTTAACCTCACCCCCCCCCCCAAAAAAAAAAGAGAGAAAAACAAAATTTACGTATTTGTCTGTTCTGTCCTATCAGAAACTGTAGAACATTTTGAGTTTAAAATGATGAGAGATCTATAAAGCTTGGTCTTTTTGTCTGATACATTGCACATGTAAGGGCAATCCAGCCCTTGTAACAAGTTTATTTGAATGAAAGCAGGAAAGTCAAGAGAAACAGAATGGCAAAAGTTTGAAATAAATTGGACCAACAATAAAATTACGATTTTTTTTTTGTGATGTAGTGACGAATAACTCTCCCAATGCTATGTTCAGGAATTAGAAACCGTTTTAAACTATATGTTTGAGGGTCAGTAGGGGAATAGATAGAGAGGTCATTAGAGGTGTGAGAAGAAATTGAATGCTCCAAAGAGGGCAAAACAAAGCTTGGAAGGTTCATATATGTCTACTAAATTTTAATGAGACCAAGGTTACTATGCCAAGATGACATTGAATGGAAAATGTCCATAAATTTTAGTGTCAGAAGTAGGTTGATAAGAGTTATTTTTAAATGCATGCACTATTTTGTGTGTATGTACTGGGGGGTGTTACACAAAGACTAAGATAGACTTTAAGTTGGACTTAACTATGGCAGGTCGTTAATGTCACTGTTTGCTCTTAATACTGGCATTAGTCTCTGAAGGGATGCATAAATTGTGGTCACAAATCTACAGAATTTACATTCTTTGATATTTATTAGATATCGAGAGAGGAAGAAACCATTATGACCAATTACTGCAAATGATTTGACGCAAGAGACCTCTTGTTGAAAGAAAATATCCCTTACACATATACAGCGATTTACAGACAAGCTACTTGCTAACTAGCTGATTCCAGCGCTGGAGAGACACACACATCACGTGCGGATGTACATGTAAGTGCTGACCGCCTTGCGATTTTATGAAGTCGGCAAGTTTGAACATTAATTTGGATACGTTAATGCTTATTAAATCTTTATGCCTAATATTTTCTAAATCTTAAGGATTTATATTTTATACAAGTTTGTGTGATTTGTATAGTACGACAATCCTTGAAACCAAAAAGTTGCCAAAGTCAATTGACACCTTAGTATTCACTTTGTTGCAGAGGAAAACAAATATAGCAGCCCCATACCTTTCGTTTGACACATGTTCACATAGTTTGAAGCTGTGAATGCAATTCACATTCCCAGGTTTAATTAAACCAGACTTCAGAATATGGGCCATTAAGCTGTCGAAATTGCAAAGCTATGCCTGTCATCACACCCCTCAGAAAGCACGAAACAGAATGAAATTTGTGTGACAATAAACATCATTATCCTGTGGTAGCCTCTCTAAGCAGTAGTTCATCTGGCTAAATGTTCTTGCAGTGCTTTTAGAGAGAGAGAGAGAGAGAGAGAGAGAGATAAGGAGATCCTATTAAACATGTTAAAAATTGCATCTAGCAAATATATAACCTATGAAAAGGGAAAGAGAGATGTGGGAGGGGGGGAGGGTGAGGAGAGAGAAAGAAATCATCCATTAAACATGCCTTTACACTCAACAAAGAATGAAAAGCTTTCTTTTTTAAACAATAAACATCATATGCCTACATAAGCAGTATATCATCATGTTAAATGCTTTGCATTGCATTTTTTAGACTAACAAGTACCAGTATATTTTTATACCGGTGTTGGGGAATTAAAAAGTGAGTGACAAAGAGGGTGGAAGGGAGAGAGAAAAAGAAAGAGAAAGAGGGGGGGGGGGAGAATCGAGGGGGATCGAGGAAGATTGGGGAAGAAAAAGAGGCCGAAAGGGAGATCCATCTCATTTGAAAACGGGAAATGAAAAATATATATTTTTAAGATAAAAATGTCCTTGTGCCTACATTGTATAAAAGCCTCAAAGCAGTGTTACATCTTTATCCTGTGGTAGCCTCTCTAAGCAGTAGTTCATCTGGCTAAATGTTCTTGCAGTGCTTTTAGAGAGAGAGAGAGAGAGAGAGAGAGAGATAAGGAGATCCTATTAAACATGTTAAAAATTGCATCTAGCAAATATATAACCTATGAAAAGGGAAAGAGAGATGTGGGAGGGGGGGAGGGTGAGGAGAGAGAAAGAAATCATCCATTAAACATGCCTTTACACTCAACAAAGAATGAAAAGCTTTCTTTTTTAAACAATAAACATCATATGCCTACATAAGCAGTATATCATCATGTTAAATGCTTTGCATTGCATTTTTTAGACTAACAAGTACCAGTATATTTTTATACCGGTGTTGGGGAATTAAAAAGTGAGTGACAAAGAGGGTGGAAGGGAGAGAGAAAAAGAAAGAGAAAGAGGGGGGGGGGGAGAATCGAGGGGGATCGAGGAAGATTGGGGAAGAAAAAGAGGCCGAAAGGGAGATCCATCTCATTTGAAAACGGGAAATGAAAAATATATATTTTTAAGATAAAAATGTCCTTGTGCCTACATTGTATAAAAGCCTCAAAGCAGTGTTACATCTTTATCCTGTGGTAGCCTCTCTAAGCAGTAGTTCATCTGGCTAAATGTTCTTGCAGTGCTTTTAGAGAGAGAGAGAGAGAGAGAGAGAGAGATAAGGAGATCCTATTAAACATGTTAAAAATTGCATCTAGCAAATATATAACCTATGAAAAGGGAAAGAGAGATGTGGGAGGGGGGGAGGGTGAGGAGAGAGAAAGAAATCATCCATTAAACATGCCTTTACACTCAACAAAGAATGAAAAGCTTTCTTTTTTAAACAATAAACATCATATGCCTACATAAGCAGTATATCATCATGTTAAATGCTTTGCATTGCATTTTTTAGACTAACAAGTACCAGTATATTTTTATACCGGTGTTGGG